TGTCCTTTGGTCTTTGAAAAAAGTAATTTTTCAAAAATCCACGTTTATTTGAACTAAGGTCCTTGAAAAAATTAATCTCTATAAAATCCACGTTTATTTGTCCTTTGGTCCTTGAAAAAAGTAATTTTTAAAAAATCCTCGTTTAGTTGGTCCTTGAAAAAATTAATCTTTAAAAAATCTAAGTTTATTTGTCCTTTGGTCCTTGAAAAAAGTAATTTTTAAAAAATCCTCGTTTATTTGGTCTTTGAAAAAATTAATCTTTAAAAAATCCACGTTTATTTGTCCTTTGGTAATTGAAAAAAGTAATTTTTAAAAAATCCACGTTTATTTGGTCCTTAAAAATTAATCTTTAAAAAAACCTCGTTTATTTGGTCCTTAAAAAATTAATCTTTAAAAAATCCACGTTCATTTAGTCCTTAAAATAATTAATCTTTAAAAAATTCGCCTTTATTTGTCCTTTGGTCCTTGAAAAAAATTAATCTTTAAAAAATCCACGTTCATTTAGTCCTTAAAATAATTAATCTTTAAAAAATCCGCGTTTATTTGTCCTTTGGTCCTTGAAAAAAGTAATCTTTAAAAAATCCGCGTTTATTTGTCCTTTGGTCCTTGAAAAAAGTAATCTTTAAAAAATCCACGTTTATTTGCCCTAAGTCCTTGAAAAGAAATAATCTTTAAAAAATCCACGTTTATTTGTCCTTTGGTCCTTGAAAAAAGTAATCTTTAAAAAATCCGCGTTTATTTGTCCTTTGGTCCTTGAAAAAAGTAATCTTTAAAAATCCACGTTTATTTGCCCTAAGTCCTTGAAAAGAAATAATCTTTAAAAAATCCACGTTTATTTGTACTTTGGTCCTTGAAAAATGTTCTTTAAAAAGTCCAGGTTAATTTCTCCTTTGGTCCTTGAAAAAATAATCTTTAAAAAATACACGATTATTTGTCCTTTGGTCCTTGAAAAAATTAATCTTTAAAAAATCCACGTTTATTTTATCCTTGAAAAAATTAATCTTTAAAAAATCCACGTTTATTTGGTACTTGAAAAAATTGATCTTTAAAAAATCCGCATTTATTCGGTCCTTAAAAAATCCTTTAAAAAATCCACGTTTATTTGGTCCTGAAAAAAATTAATCTTTAAAAAATCCACATTTATTTGGTCCTTAAAAAAATTAATCTTTAAAAAATCCACGTTTATTTGGTTCTTAAAAAAATTAATCTTTAAATAATCCACGTTTAGTTAGTCCTTAAGAAAATTCATCTTTAAAAAATCCAGGTTTATGTTGTCTTTGTAAAAAGAAATCTGTAAAAAATCCACGTTTAAGTCGTCCTTGAAAAAAGTAATCTTTAAAAAATCCACGTTTACTTGGTCCTTGAAAAAATATCCTTTAAAAATCAAAGTTTGATCCTTAAAAAGATATCCTTCAAAACCCATTCTTTTATTTTTTCCTTTAGCCCATGCCCTCAATATTTTGGCTGGAAACCCGAGAACATTATTTGATGCTAAAGAAGCTGCTGCGAGATCTCAACAAAGAAATGTCCGTTTTAATTTTGTTGTCCGGGGCCAACAACATGTACTTTATTTGTTGCCAGTTATTTAATAGTTTTACGTAAGTATATCCTCGGAGGGAGTGAGATAGAGAGGAGGGAGTATCTTGTAAATTTACATTATCTTTACAAATTGTGTTTCCTTTTTGTAAATATCGTTATCGTCCTCGTCGGGTTCCTGCCTCTCCAGCAACATTGGTGTCGATTGGGTGGTCGAAATGGCATTTTGGTTCTCGCTGCTCTACAATATTTTCCGCACAATTCTAACATTTTCCCTGGCCTCCATGCTGGACGAGTACACCAGGAAGATAATAATTTGTTTGCGTGATGTACCCTCCCGGTCGTGGTGTACAGAGGTAGGTATTCGGGGCTGTGAGATTTCATTCATATTCAATAGTTATTAAAAATGGATTTCATTTTTGTTTTGTTGATTTTGATTTTCGTTGTTCCATGGCTTGTGTCTAACTGCTCTGACTGGATAATGATGTGTCCGCACTGAAGACTCAACGCTTCAGCCAACAACTGGCGGTGGACGTAACAGCTTTCACAGCTGCCGGTCTTTTTACATTGACGCGCAAACTAATTTTGGCTGTAATGACAATTTATATTCCATGTTGTTTTTGTTGTTGCCAGATTATTTTAATTAATGGATGTTGTTTTTTTGTTGTTGTTTATTTTTCTCGTTAAATTTTGATTTTGGCAAATTTGTTGACCTGCATATCTGCCATGGATGGATATTGGTGCTGCGATGCCAATAATGATGATGATGACGGCGCTGATGATGTGCAAAAATTCCTGCGTCGGTGTCTAGATGGCCAGCACTGTCGTCACTTATCAGCTGATGGTCTCCAATGTTATTAATGAGGGCGCCATTAAACAAGTGACAAATTATTGCAAACATTACGAACGCTTTGAGGAAACTTTTGCTGCTGCTGCTGGAGATAATGGCGAACAAATCTTCTAGAGCTTCGCCTCCAGGGCTAATGGAAGTAATTCGTTTTGAAACATTTAATAAATTATTGAAAAATGAAGTCCATTTGAATGTTAATTTAGCTGATGTCGATGTTACTGTTCGTTGTTGTTAGATGGCCACATGGATGTAAAATAAATATGAATATTTATGTAGCATAATTAAAAGTTATTAAATAATTGGTGTTAATGAAAAACAAAAGAAGATTAAACGAAAAATAAGTTAAAGTTAAAAATAATATTTTTTGAAAGAAAAATGGTGAATTTTTCTTAAAAAATATTATTGCAAAGACACAACAAGGTGGAATTTTTTAAGAATATTTTTTCAAGGACCAAATAAACATGGATTTTTTAAAGATTAATTTTTTCAGGGGCCAAATAAACATGGATTTTTAAAGAATATTTTTTTCAGGGACCAAAGGACCAATAAACGTGGATTTTTTAAAGATTAATTTTTTCAAGGACCAAAGGACCAATAAACGTGGATTTTTTAAAGATTAATTTTTTCAAGGACCAATAAACGTGGATTTTTTAAAGATTAATTTTTTCAAGGACCAATAAATGTGGATTTTTTAAAGATTAATTTTTTCAAGGACCAAAGGACAAATAAACGTGGATTTTTTAAAGATTAATTTTTTCAAGGACCAAAGGACAAATAAACGTGGATTTTTTAAAGATTAATTTTTTCAAGGACCAAAGGACAAATAAACGTGGATTTTTTAAAGATTAATTTTTTCAAGGACCAAAGGACAAATAAACGTGGATTTTTTAAAGATTAATTTTTTCAAGGACAAATAAACCTGGATTTTTTAAAGATTAATTTTTTTCAAGGACCAAAGGACCAATAAACGTGGTTTTTTTAAAGATTAATTTTTTCAAGGACCAATAAACGTGGATTTTTTAAATATTATTTTTTTCAAGGACCAATAAACGTGAATTTTTTAAAGATTATTTTTTTCAAGGACCAATAAACGTGGATTTTTTAAAGATTATTTTTTTCAAGGACCAATAAACGTGGATTTTTTAAAGATTATTTTTTTCAAGGACCAATAAACGTGGATTTTTTAAAATTAATTTTTTCAAGGATCAAATAAAAGTGGATTTTTTAAAGATTACTTTTTAAAGGGCCATCTGACCAATACACGTGGATTTTTTAAAGATTACTTTTTTCAAGGACCAAATAAACGTGGATTTTTTAAAGATTACTTTTTTCAAGGACCAAATAAACGTGGATTTTTTAAAGATTACTTTTTTCAAGGACCAAATAAACGTGGATTTTTTAAAGATTACTTTTTTCAAGGACCAAATAAACGTGGATTTTTTAATGATTACTTTTTTTAAGGAGCAAAGGACCAATAAACGTGGATTTTTTAAAGATTAATTTTTTCAAGGACCAATAAACGTGGATTTTTTAAAGATTTTTTAAATATTATTTTTTTCAAGGACCAATAAACGTGGATTTTTTAAAGATTAATTTTTTCAAGGACTAAATGAACGTGGATTTTTTAAAGATTAATTTTTTCAAGGACCAAAGGACAAATAAACGTGGATTTTTTAAAGATTACTTTTTTCAAGGACCAGAGGACAAATAAACGTGGATTTTTTAAATATTAATTTTTTCAAGGACCAAAGTACCAATAAACCTGGATTTTTAAAGATTAATTTTTTCAAGGACCAACAGACAATTAAACTTGGAATTTTCAAAAAAATATATTTTCAAGGATCAAAGGACAATTAAACGTTAATTTTTCAAAAAAAAATATATTTTCAAGGATCGAGGACAATTAAACGTGGATTTTTCAAAAAAATATATTTTCAAGGATCAAAGGACAAATAAGCGTTGATTTTTAAGAATCAAATGACAAATAATCGTGGATTTTTCAAAAACTATATTTTCAAGGATCAAAAAACCCATAAACCTGGATTTTTTAAACAATATCTTTTCAAGGATCCAATTACCAATAAATGTAATTTTTTTAAAGAAGATTGAATTTTTAGAAGAATTTTCCAGACAAACTTTTTTTAAGGACTCTTTTTCAAGATAATTAGGCACAATCTAGGCTTCACATTAATATTTTTTCAAAAATGACAACGTTCATTTCTAAGAATATTTTTTCAGAATAGTTAGAGCCATTCAAATGTAGATTTTTGAGGATATTTTTTCATGCATGAATTTTTGCAAGGACAAAGATTCTATCTGATCAATGAACGCCTATTTTTTTAATTTATATTTTTCAAGGAGCATAAGATATTTTATATTTCAAAGTATATTTTTCAAGGTCTATTAGAGCCCCAAATCGTGAATTTGTTAAGAATATCTCCTTTATTTTTCTAATATAAAATATTTTTTTGGTTATTGGTTTAGAATATTTTATAAAATGTCCACCTCCCATTTCATAAAAATTCCATTTTTATATAACTCTAAATTGATTATAAATTTTGTTTTTGTTACATACATTTCGATTTTATTACCACATAAAAGACCAGTTACGACATAAATATTTACTTTTTGAAGAAATAAACAAAATATGTATAAAAACGACACAGCTTAACACACATATCGATAAACATTAAAATAATGCATACACAAATATAAAATACATAATCTTTTAACATTTTATCTGCTCATGGCATTCTTAGACATCATCATCCAAAGTGGAAAAAAAACCAAAAGGAATACATTCAACCCTTCCTTTGATTACACAGTGGTGTGTGGACATCATTGCCATCCACTTGATCGAGCAGGACGAGTTCATAAATAACCAAAGTGCCGGCCATCTAAAAATCACAAAAAAAAAAAAAAAAAAAAAAAAAAAAAACATGGAAGATAAGAAAATAAACATTTCAGTATTTTGACAATTTGCTGAAAATATGTGACCGATAATAAAATAATGTTTTGTAATATTGAAATACCAATTTAGTATTTTTATTTCGTTACTCACAGCCAACATAAGACGCCGGGTAAGGAAAAAGAAACCCTTGCCACTTAAAGCAATCAAATCGGATATAATGATTTCATTGAGTCTTTTGAGCTGAAATGGAAAGAAAGAAAAGTAGATAATAAAAAGATTCAGGTTTTCAAAAAAAAAAAAAAATAATAAATAAATAAATAAATAAATAAATAAATCAATAAAAAAAATAAATAAATAAATAAAAAATAAAAATACATAAATTAAAAGGAAAAAACAAATAATAATAAAAATAATTATTTAAATAAAAATTAATAATTTAAATTAGGTAATTAAGCTCTGCATTTTTTTTCTCCAAAAATAAGAAATAAAATAAATAAAAAAAAGTAAAATAGTATATGTCGGTTTTGCCGACAATTGTATACCTCCAGCCTTGAGTTATGATTATTCAAACTGTTTACCCTTTATGGGGGAGGTTCCGAAGCAGTTGGCCAATATTGACCAATTCGTATCAGACCTAAGAATGATGAAAATATTACAACGTGCCAGATTTGGACTATATCACCCACTTCCTCACATGAAATATGTGCAAACTATTGGAATATGTGGAAATATGGGTGAGGTACCAGATATAGCGGACCATTTTACTTCATCTAAAACAGATAACAATACAGGGCGACATGAAAAAAACTGCAACCAATTTCAGACTGCTGTCATTTCTAAGCCACTCGTCCGAGAGCTGTTAAAATTATTCCAGTGACAGCTCATTATATTGTTTACAAGCGTACAAAAGCGTTTTGGTGAGAATTTTCCAGAAACAAAGTTATTCGTGATGGAGATTCAAGCGTGATGGTGTGATTTCTTTATATTTGGCTGGAAAACCACCAACCAAGTGGCTATCGTTAGAGCACTCCAGCATTTAAATGTGAATAAATTGTTGTCTCCTGCCATCGCTCATTACCGTGATACTGGTAGCGTAGCTCGACACATGTCAAGGAAGTGAACGGAAGAAAACTGCAACATCAGCAGAAATGGTTCGAAAAGTAAAGAAGCTACTTGATCGAAACACGCGTCGAGTCAGTGGCCGAAAAATGGCTTGTGAACTGAACATATCGCAATATTCCTTTCAGCAAATATTGAAAAATGAGCTCGGGGTAAAGCCATTGAAATTCCAAAAAGTGCAAGAACTTACACCTCAACAGTGAGAAAATAGACACAAAAGAGCTAAAGAGTTGCTTCACTTGGCCGAAAGTGGTGAACTGCCGAATTTGCTTTTCTCCGTCTCCGATGAGAAAATATTCGTTGTCCAGTAGTTTGTAAACAAACAAAATGATCGCGTTTCCTTACCAAAGAAGTCAGCTGAAAATGTGCACCTTCGGTTGGCCACCAGAACTCAAGCGCCGGCCATGGTGATGGTGTGCGCTGCCATAATAGCCGATGATCGCTCTCCGCTCGTATTAATCGACCGTGGCCTCAGAATAAATGCCGAATATTATGGCGAAAATATTCTGGAGATGTATTAAAGCCTTGGGCACGCAAACATTTTCGTCGCAGACCATGGACCAAGACTCAGTACCATCGCACCACTCAGCACGCGCCGCCCAAGAATGGTTACAAAATGAGGTTCTTCGCTTCATTTCCAGCGCACCAAATGGCCACCAAAATCTCCGGATACCAATCCGTTTGACTATTGTGTCTGGAGTATTTTGGAAAGCAGGTTGGCACTAAAAAATACCAAAGTGTCGAACACCTTCGCGCTTCGCCGGGAATGGACCAAAATACTGCAGAGCAATATTCGGGCAGCGTGTGACTGTTTTATTGACCGTTTGAAAGGCCATAATTCGTGTCAAAGGTGAAAAAATCGAACTAATTCTAAAATTTGATGCTATTTCCGACATTTGTTTGCTTTCATTCAATAAAATTTAAATTAAAATTTAATAGAAAAATTTAAAAATCATGGCGTTTGATTTTGTTGCAGTTTTTTTTTTTATCTCACCCTGTAAGTTAACTAAGGTCCGCAATTTTTCTCAAAAAAGATTACTTTTTCAAGGCCAAATAAACGTGGGCTTTTAAGAGATTCCTTTTTTCAAGGGCCAAATAAACAAATAAACGTGGATTTTTCAAAAAAATATTTTCCAGGGATCAAAGGACGTGGATTTTTAATGAATTTTTTTTTAGGGACCAAAGGACAAATAAAAGTGGATTTTTCAAAAAAAAAAATATTTTTCAGGGATCAAAGGACAAATAAAAGTGGATTTTTCAAAAAAAAAATATTTTTCAGGGATCAAAGGACAAATAAACGTGGATTATTCAAAAAAAATATTTTTTAGGGATCAAAGGACAAATAAACGTGGATTTTTCAAAAATATATTTTTCAAGGACCAAAGAACAAATAAACGTGGATTTTTCAAAAATATATTTTTGAAGGATCAAAGGACAAATAAACGTGGATTTTTCAAAAAAATATTTTTCAGGTATCAAAGGACAAATAAACGTGGATTTTTCAAAAAAATATTTTTCAGGGATCAAAGGACAAATAAACGTGGATTTTTCAAAAAAATATTTTTCAGGGATCAAAGGACAAATAAACGTGGATTTTTCAAAAAAATATTTTTCAGGGATCAAAGGACAAATAAACGTGGATTTTTCAAAAAAAGTATTTTTCAGGGATCAAAGGACAAATAAACGTGGATTTTTCAAAAAAATATTTTTCAGGGATCAAAGGACAAATAAACGTGGATTTTTCAAAAAAAAATATTTTTCAGGGATCAAAGGATAAATAAACGTGGATTTTTCAAAAAAATATTTTTCAGGCATCAAAGGACAAATAAACGTGGATTTTTAAAAAAAATATTTTTCAGGGATCAAAGGACAAATAAACGTGGATTTTTAAAAAAAATATTTTTCAGGCATCAAAGGACAAATAAACGTGGATTTTTAAAAAAAATATTTTTCAGGGATCAAAGGACAAATAAACGTGGATTTTTTAAAGAATATTTTTTTAGGGACCAAAGGACAAATAAACGTGGATTTTTTAAAGAATATTTTTTTAGGTACCAAAGGACAAATAAACGTGGATTTTTTAAAGAATATTTTTTTAGGGACCAAAGGACAAATAAACGTGGATTTTTTAAAGAATATATTTTAGGTACCAAAGGACAAATAAACGTGGATTTTTTAAAAAAATATTTTTCAGGGATCAAAGGACAAATAAACGTGGATTTTTCAAAAAAATATTTTTCAGGGATCAAAGGACAAATAAACGTGGATTTTTCAAAAAAATATTTTTCAGGGATCAAAGGACAAATAAACGTGGATTTTTCAAAAAAAATATTTTTTAAGGATCAAAGGACAAATAAACGTGGATTTTTAAAAAAATATATTTTTCAGGGATCAAAGGACAAATAAACGTGGATTTTTCAAAAAAATATCTTTCAGGGATCAAAGGACAAATAAACGTGGATTTTTAAAAAAAATATTTTTCAGGGACCAAATACAAATAAACGTGGATTTTTTAAAGAATATTTTTTTAGGGACCAAAGGACAAATAAACGTGGATTCTTAAAAAATATTTTTCAGGGATCAAAGGACAATAAACGTGGATTTTTCAAAAAAATATTTTTCAGGCATCAAAGAACAAATAAACGTGGATTTAAAAAAAAAATATTTTTCAGGGATCAAAGGACAAATAAACGTGGATTTTTTTAAAAAAAATATTTTTTTAGGGACCAATGGACAAATAAACGTGGATTTTTCAAAAAAATATTTTTTAGGGATCAAAGAACAAATAAACGTGGATTTTTCAAAAAAAAATATTTTTCAGGAATCAAAGGACAAATAAACGTGGATTTTTCAAAAAATATTTTTTAGGGATCAAAGAACAAATAAACGTGGATTTTTCAAAAAAAAAATATTTTTCAGGAATCAAAGGACAAATAAACGTGGATTTTTCAAAAAAATATTTTTTAGGGATCAAAGAACAAATAAACGTGGATTTTTCAAAAAAAAATATTTTTCAGGAATCAAAGGACAAATAAACGTGGATTTTTCAAAAAAATATTTTTCAGGGATCAAAGGACAAATAAACGTGGATTTTTCAAAAAAAAATATTTTTCAGGAATCAAAGAACAAATAAACGTGGATTTTTAAAAAAAATATTTTTCAGGGATCAAAGGACAAATAAACGTGGATTTTTCAAAAAAATATTTTTCAGGGATCAAAGGACAAATAAACGTGGATTTTTCAAAAAAAATATTTTTTAAGGATCAAAGGACAAATAAACGTGGATTTTTAAAAAAATATATTTTTCAGGGATCAAAGGACAAATAAACGTGGATTTTTCAAAAAAATATCTTTCAGGGATCAAAGGACAAATAAACGTGGATTTTTAAAAAAAATATTTTTCAGGGACCAAATACAAATAAACGTGGATTTTTTAAAGAATATTTTTTTAGGGACCAAAGGACAAATAAACGTGGATTCTTAAAAAAATATTTTTCAGGGATCAAAGGACAATAAACGTGGATTTTTCAAAAAAATATTTTTCAGGCATCAAAGAACAAATAAACGTGGATTTAAAAAAAAAATATTTTTCAGGGATCAAAGGACAAATAAACGTGGATTTTTTTAAAAAAAATATTTTTTTAGGGACCAATGGACAAATAAACGTGGATTTTTCAAAAAAATATTTTTTAGGGATCAAAGAACAAATAAACGTGGATTTTTCAAAAAAAATATTTTTCAGGAATCAAAGGACAAATAAACGTGGATTTTTCAAAAAAATATTTTTTAGGGATGAAAGGAACATTTCAAATAAAAAAACATTTCACCGTTCTCCTCTATAATAATAAAGGGATTAAGCCTGACCATTTTGCAATAGGAAATTTTTAAAATTTCAATTTTTTTTAAGAAATGTGGTGTCTATAATTTCTTTACTGGGACCCCATTTCCCTCAAAACCTTCCTAAAAATCGTTTACGAAACCCACACGTTTCTCTGGAAATCTAATTGACAAATGGTCCACGTTTTAGCAGAAAAAAACGTGTCTAACTGATTCCTAAAATCAGTTCTGCTTCCATCCCCAAAGACGTTTTATCGTTTACTTTGAAAACTATTGGTTTTTTTTGCATCCCTTTCTTGGCGATTGAATTTCCATCAATCAAATTTCGAAAATAGTGGCTAAACATGATTGACACTTTGTTGCCAAAGAAAAATTTTAGCCCTCCACCCCTTCTTACCTCCAAACACCAATAGGCGGTGGGTATTTCATAAATTGTGCTCAAAATGCCATAGGCCGTCTCATTAATGGCTGCTGCCGACCACATCATGTAGAAGGTGCGTATGGCCACATGGAGCAGAGAGAACCAAAAGTAGATTTCGCTCATGAAATTGTCTCGATAGCTGGAACGAAAAAAAGAAAATTTATTGAGGCGGACACTTTTGTCCACTTATTATATGGTTCAGTGCCGACATTTGAGGCATTTTATTTATGAATATCCATTCCTTCAACCATTCATCCAGCTATCCTTCCTACCTCCCTCCCTCCTTCCCAAAATACTTACAGAAATACATGGAACGTCTGAACGGCTAAAAAATATAAATTCTGTGCACATGACAGCATCACCAAGCCAGACAAATCCGTGTCGTATAGCCAAAGTAAATCTGTCAATGCAAGAAAATCCTTGCGTACGCCAAGCCAAAAGTCATTTGACATATGCTGTCAAATAGCAGAGGAGATTGAATGTAAACAAAAGGGGAGGAGGAGAGAAAAAAAAAACGATATGTGACCCATTTTTGAAAGAGAGTTAGAATACACACACACACTCACCTTTTTCTGATGACACTGGACGTGCCATTTGAATTGATTGAAACGCACCGCCAAACTTTGCGACACCAGAATTAGAAAAATATCCACAAAATTCCATATGAATGTCATTGATATGGTTATCCACTGGATGGGAGAGAGAGAAAGAAAAAAGAGAAGGATATATGATTGATGAAGGTAAAAAGGATATTTATGTGGTACGCTACTCCACGTGGATTTTGCAGAGAATATTTTTTCAAGGACCAAGAAACGTGGATTTTGTAAAGAATATTTTTCAAGGACTTTTTATATTTCAAGGACTATTTTTTTAAGGACCAAATAAACGTGGATTTTTTAAAGATTAATTTTTTCAAGGACCAAACGTGGATTTTTTAAGATTAATTTTTTCAAGGACCAAATAAACGTGGATTTTTTAAAGATTAATTTTTTCAAGGACCAAATAAACGTGGATTTTTTAAAGATTAATTTTTTCAAGGACCAAAGGACAAATAAACGTGGATTTTTAAAGATTAATTTTTTCAAGGACCACATAATAAACGTGGATTTTTTAAAGATTAATTTTTTCAAGGACCACATAATAAACGTGGATTTTTTAAAGATAAATTTTTTCAAGGACCAAATAAACGTGGATTTTTTAAAGATTAATTTTTTCAAGGACCACATAATAAACGTGGATTTTTTAAAGAATTATTTTTTCAAGGACCAAATAAACGTGGATTTTTTAAAGATTAATTTTTTCAAGGACCACATAATAAACGTGGATTTTTTAAAGATTAATTTTTTCAAGGACCAAATAAACGTGGATTTTTTAAAGATTAATTTTTTCAAGGACCACATAATAAACGTGGATTTTTTAAAGATTAATTTTTTCAAGGACCAAATAAACGTGGATTTTTTAAAGATTAATTTTTTCAAGGACCACATAATAAACGTGGATTTTTTAAAGATTAATTTTTTCAAGGACCACATAATAAACGTGGATTTTTTAAAGATTATTTTTTTCAAGGACCAAATAAACGTGGATTTTTTAAAGATTAATTTTTTCAAGGACCAAATAAACGTAGATTTTTTAAAGATAAATTTTTTCAAGGACCGAAGGACCAAGATACGTGGATTTTTTAAAGATTACCTTTTTCAAGGACCAATTAAACGTGGATTTTTTAAAGATTAATTTTTTCAAGGACCAATGGACAAATAAACGAGGATTTTTTAAAGATTAATTTTTTCAAGGACCAATGGACAAATAAACGAGGATTTTTTAAAGATTAATTTTTTTCAAGGACCAAATAAACGTGGATTTTTTTAAAGATTACTTTTTTCAAGGACCAAATAAACGTGGAATTTTTAAAGATTAATTTTTTCAAGGACCAAATGAACGTGGATTTTTTAAAGATTAATTTTTTCAAGGACCAAATAAACGTGGATTTTTTTAAAGATTAATTTTTTCAAGGACCAAATAAACGTGGATTTTTTAAAAATTACATTTTCCAAGGACCAAATAAACGTGGATTTTTTAAAAATTACATTTTCCAAGGACCAAATAAACGTGTATTTTTTAGAAATTACATTTTCCAAGGACCAAATAAACGTGGATTTTTTAAAAATTACATTTTCCAAGGACCAAATAAACGTGGATTTTTTAAAAATTACATTTTCCAAGGACCAAATAAACGTGGATCTGTTAGAGATTAATTTTTTCAAGGACCAAATAAACGTGGATCTGTTAGAGATTAATTTTTTCAAGGACCAAATAAACGTGGATTTTTTAAAGATTAATTTTTTCAAGGACCAAATAAACGTGCATTTTTTAAAGATTAATTTTTTTCAAGGACCAAATAAAGCTGGATTTTTTAAAGATTAATTTTTTCAAGGACCAAATAAACGTGGATTTTTTAAAGATTATTTTTTTCAAGGATCAAATAAACGTGGATTTTTTAAAGATTACTTTTTTCAAGGATCAAATAAATGTGGATTTTTTAAGGATTAATTTTTTCAAGGACCAAATAAACGTGGATTTTTTAAAGATTACTTTTTTCAAGGACCAAATAAACGTGGATTTTTTAAAGATTAATTTTTTCAAGGACCACAAGTACCCTCTTACCTGCAATAGGGGTACCAACCACACCGTGTAGTCTATCAGCGAAAAGAACTGCCAACGCTCTCGCATGTAATAGTTTTTCCAAAACCCCGCCGTTAAGTTGCATTCCTTGATCTGCAGATGATTGCTGTAAATACCGCTGCCCACATAGCACAAGTGTTCCACTGGCTCGAGGAATAAACAATGACAGCATCAGCAGCAGTAAACAAAACAGCACCCACAACAAAAAGGAAATAAAACGGAAAACCGGAAACAATAACAAAAAGTGGCAACACAAATCAAAATACAAAAACAGAAGAACAAATAACTTCAACTACACACACACCCTCATACATACCCACCGAGCTCACGAGAAACAGGGTCCCCGTCAGACGAATGCGACGACTTAGCATTTGCGATTCTGGACATGCCGCATAGGGTCCCCGCAGAAATATCACTTCCAGGCGTCGCGTGGACTTAATCAAATTTGGCCACTTACGTGATAGCCATAGGAAAACAATGAAGCCGGTGAGGCACCCAATGCTGAAGCTCAAAGGTCCTGCAAGAGAGGCAGCATATATTAGAAGGGCACTTGTTTTGGCTGTGCAATGCAAGTGATATGTTTATGGCAAACATTGTTGCTGGCTGGCATCCTCACCTGTTGTTGTTAGCATTATGCCCATTTCGGTCACCACCTTCAGGGAGAGAAACAAATCCATGGTGGCGAACAGGCACAGCGTCAGTGTCACCAACACCGGCAGGCTACACCATTTGAAACGCACCAGGGCGATATCTGCCCTGGGCCATACTCCCAGAACCGGCATGGTGCCAAAGAAGCGTGACAACACCAAGACTACCAAAGAAAAAAAAAACAAAAAAAAAAAAAACAGAACAAAGATGAAGAAGATGGGGATGAAAAATAGGCGAAAAAACGGTGGAGTGAAATTTCACACGTGGCATAAAAAACATAAATGCTGTGACTTTTTTCGCACACGTGTAAAATTTGGCTATAAATTGATTGACAGCGAGGGAGAGAGAAAGGGCAGGAGGTATGGAGAGGTAGAGACTCAAGTGGCTTTGCAGGTGTATTTAATGGAGAGTGGGGTTTGGGTCGAATATAAATTTGTTTTAAGTTATTTTAAGATTATTTATTTTTCTTAATATTTAGCTAACGTTTTTTTATTTATAGAGAAAAGTTGAATGCCAATCATAAATTTTGACATAAAGTAAAGCCTAAACCCGAATGTAGGAAAATCCTTGGAAAAGGCGGAAAACCATGTTGTTGAAAATAAATTTCAAACAAAACAAGTAAAGAAAGTCCAAAAGTCGGGCGGGGCCGACTTTATGCTACCCTACACCACTTTGCTAATTTAGTAGAGCTCCGCATAACAACTTAAATTTTTTATGGGAGAATTCAATCAAAAACGCTATGATTATAATTATTATTTAAAGTTCAAAGGACTAAATATGCCGAAGAATTTGTATCTTTTAAATTCGGACATGTATTGCCCATTTGGTGCACAATTAATTTAAAATCGGATAAAGATATATATGGGAGCTATATCCAAATCGGAAGCGATCTTGATAAAATTTGGCAAAGATATTTCTGAGCTGTATTTGATATATTTCCCTGAATATCGTTGTTACGGAGTGCATATTACGGCTGTGGGTAACAAATACAACAAATCGGATGAACAATATATATGGGAGCTATAGCTATATCTGAACCGATCTTCACCAAATTTGACATACTAGCTTCTAGACTCAATTCGGTCGCATGTGTCAAATTCCATTCCATTTGGGCAAATATTAGACGTTTAGCGCACAATAAAAAGTAAATCGGACGAAGATATATAAGGGAGCTAAATCGAAATCTGTACCGATCTCGATAAAATTTAGCAAATGTATTTCTGTGCTGTATTTGATATAGTTCCCCAAATATCGATGTTACAGAGTGCATATTACGGCTGCGGAGGACAAAAATAACGAATCGGATGAACAATATATATGGGAGCTTGAGCTATATCTGAACCGATTTCGGTCAAATTTGGCATATTTATTAGAAGCCGTAATTTGGTCGAATATGCAAAATTCCATACTATTTGGGCTGATATTACACGTTAGGTGCACATTTAAAGACAAATCGGAAGAAGATATATTTGGGAGTTATATCTAAATTTTTGACCGATTATCTCCAATTTCAATAGGGTTCGTTCTTGGGCCAAACAAATGATTTGTGCAAAATTTCATGTGGATCGGGTAATAAATGCGACCTTTATATAGACAGACAAACGGACGGACATGCCTAAATCGACTCAGAATGTGATTCTATGCAGATCATAAAAAGGAACTATTGGTCTATCTCGCTTCCTTTTGCCTGTTACAAACAAATGTACAAAGACATAATACCCTGAAAACCTTGTGGTGTAGGGTATAAAGGAACAGTCGGGTTTACCGCCTGATGTATACCCTCAGCCAATATTCGATTATTTAAATATATTTTGACTTCGGTTATGATTATTCAAATTGTTGACCCTCTAGGTAGGTTCCGAAGGAATGGGCCAATATTGGCCATTTCGTATCGGACCTTAATAAATATTATATAAATATTGCGACGTGCCAGGTTCGGAATATATTCGAGGTAACGAATATATGATAATTTTTAGAAAATGTTGAAATGTTCGGTACCATATATGTGGCACCGAATTATTCCATTTTTATACTCCATCTAATATGGATAAAAATATTGGTATAAGCAAAATTACAAGAAAATCGAAATCTTGAACCCTATTTGGGGGAAGTACCAGAAGAACTGCTCCGATCTCTATAAAGATCTGTTATAAAGATTTTGTGCTGTTGGAAATATTGAGATTTGCCAAGTCTGAATGGATTCGGATATTAATTTCGCATTTTATGAGAAGACTTTTTCGTATTTTAGACAAAAATGTGATTGATGATGGAGAAACCCGCCTGGAAAAAGCTGGATTGAAAAAAAAAAAAAAAAAAAAAAACAATTAGGTGCTCTATTGAGACCCAGAACAAATGAAGTCTTTTTTTATAGTTTTAAGCATTTTGGCACTTTCAAGCAGTTTCCCTATCGTTAACCGCAGTTTTGATTAAAAAAAAAATAAAAAAATCGAGTGGTATGAAGTTACTTTGAAACAAGAAAAAAAAAAGATCTTAGTTCGGCCGGGACGAACTTTTAATGCCCTCCACCACTTTGAAGGATCTTGACAAAATTAAAAAAAAATCCGTCGAAAAATACCTCTTAAATGAAAACCGCAAAGACGTGGACCCACATAAGTATTTTTTTTTGTTATAGGACGTAGTAAAGTTTCCGAACTTCAAATACGAAATTTGAAACAATTCCGGTGAAAAATTTCGCTAAAATCATTAAAATACCGAGTATCGGGGTTACCGATATATGAAGGCTATACGTGGACCTATTTAGACAATTCTCTTCCAGGAGGTAAAGTACTCAGAATGAACTCCTTGTGTAGATTTTCAGACAATTTCATTGAAAAATTTAGCTAAAATCATAAAAAACCCGAATATAGGGAGGTACCACTATATGGGGGCTATACCAAAACGTGGTACCTTCGCAGGCAATTTTCTATCATAGGCTGTAGTATTCATTACGAACTTCAAATACCAAATTTGAAACAATTCCGGTAAATAATGTCACTAAAATCAACAATATACCAAATATCGGGAGGTAAAGTTATATCGGGGCTATACAAAGTCTTGGACCTGCATAAACAATTTTCTAACACAGTCTGTAGTACCTATTAGGAACTTCAAATACAAAGATTCAAACAATTCCGGTCAAAAATGTCGCTATAATCAGCAAAATACCGAATATCGGGAGGTACCGTTATATGGGGGCTATACGATATCGTAAACCTATTCAGACAATTTTCTTTCAGGGGGTCAAGTACTCAGAAGGAACTCCTTGTGTAGGATTTCAGACAATTTCATTAAAAAATTTAGCTAAAATCATAAAAAACCCGAATATTGGGAATACCGTTATATGGGGGCTATACGATATCGTGGACCAATACATCCCATCTTCGAACTTCATTTGCCCGCAGACAAAAGACTGATCTGTGCAAAATTTTAGTTTCCTATCTTTATTCGTTTTGACTCTGGCGTGATTACAACAGACGAACAGACAGACATACGGAATGGCAGACAGGGCTAAATCGTCTTAGAATTTTACGCTGATCAAGAGTATTTACAGGGTGAGATAAAAACCTGCAATAAAGTCAAAGGCCATAATTTTTGCATTTTTATTTTAATTTTATGGAATGAAAGCAAAAACTGTCGGAAATAGCATCAAATTTTGGAATAAATTTAGTTTTGTTAGAATTGGTCAGATTTGGCACGAAACTAGTATATTTTCTTTCAAATTCTTTTCGGAATTTAGTGCTTTTTAGTACCCTTAGTACACTTCTAATCCGAAATTCTAAAAACCTAGCGTTATCTCAACCTTATCCACCAACATTGACCCCGATGCAAAATTTCAGCTACAGCCATTTCGCCTGGGCATTGATGAATCAGTCACTCAATCAGATTGTGAATGGGGCGTATGATTAATTTCGTTAATTCAAATTTCTGTGAAAGTACATCAATCATACGCCCAATGTTGTCGGGGGAAAATGTATCGAGTATTTACTAGAGTTGTGCCAATCTAGTTCTTTATCTAGTTCCGGTAGTTTGTATGAAAACTGTGCGAATGAGTAGTGGGAAATTTCTGAAATCACTCATACCTTTAGGAGCTGATATACTGAACTATGAACTAGGTTGACACAACTCTCTAGATGATGACGGTCATGTACGCCCGGTGCTTGGCAAAATATAATGTACGGGGCGTATGATTTATAAAATTTAAGTTACTGTGAAATTACATCTGCAAATAACCCAATAACTACCGATTTTAAATATATACATTCTGCTTTCTCAATGAGCATAAATTAAGACAATTTTGGTCTATCTTCTGATATAGCCCCACACCAAAATTTGACTTCTCGAATTCACAAAAAATCCACCATTTGTTAGGAAGTGCTTGAAAATATTGCACAATTTAAGCCCGGAAGTCGCCAAAAGACAATTTTTCAAAAATTTTAAAAACACTTCAAAAATCCACAATTGTTGTCTGGAGGTCATTGATGAAATTTCTTTGAAAACCCCGATTTTTTGAGGAAGATTTTGTTAAAAAGTTCTTAAAAATTCTTAATTAATATTTTTGTATGTTTTGTCAATAAGGCCAGAAAGCCTATTATTGTTTTTTTTTTTAAGTTCGGCATTGGCTTCAATATCTAAGCATCAGATCAAAGTTCAAAGTTGTGTAGGGTTGACGCACTTCATAAATTTGTGATAGAAATATGAGGATGCGCGAAGTCTAGAGTCATTTTGAACATCTTCTATGAAAAGACCACCAGGTCTTCTATGAAAAGACCACCAGGTCTTCTATGAAAAGACCACCAGGTCTTCTATGAGAAGACCACCAGGTCTTCTATGAGAAGACCTCCAGGTCTTCTATGAGAAGATCTCCAGGTCTTCTATGAGAAGACCTCGAGGTCTTCTATGAGAAGACCTCCAGGTCTTCTATGAGAAGACCTCCAGGTCTTCTATGAGAAGACCTCCAGGTCTTCCACGAGAAGGCCTCCAGGTCTTCTCTGAGAAGACCTCCAGGCCTTCCACGAGAAGGCCTCCAGGTCTTCTCTGAGAAGACCTCCAGGTCTTCCACGAGAAGGCCTCCTGGTCTTCTCTGAGAAGACCTCCAGGTCTTCCACGAGAAGGCCTCCAGGTCTTCTCTGAGAAGACCTCCAGGTCTTCCACGAGAAGGCCTCCAGGTCTTCTCTGAGAAGACCTCCAGGTCTTCCACGAGAAGGCATCCAGGTCTTCTCTGAGAAGGCCTCCAGGACCTCCAGGTCTTCTATGAGAAGACCTCCAGGTCTACTATGAGAAGACGTCCAGATCTTCTATGAGAAGACGTCCAGGTCTTCTATGAGAAGACACCTCCAGGTCTTCTATGAGAAGGCCTTCTGGTCTTCTGTAAGAAGACCCTCTTGTCTTCTATACGAAGACTTTTACTTTCAACAGCGACTCAAGCATTAGTCCGACTTCAATTCATAGACTCCGATAGACTCCGATTCCCCAAATATGCCTTTAATAACATCTTATTATTGAAATGTGCATACGCAAATCTATAGGACCTTCATAAATGTGAAATGGGAACTTGTACTGGAATAAGGCTAGCTTTAAATAATAACACACACACACAATTATCATGCCTTCGTGTTACACATTTCCTAACAAAGAATAAAATCTCAATTAAAAATCTAAATTTAAAAAAATTAAATCTAACCCAAACACTTTCTGTTCTGCTTATCCTTTCCCTTCTTTCTCCATCACGCTCTCCTTCTCTCTTTTTTTTAAAACACTTACATGGTCCTAGAGCATGGTGTAACGTATTTGTAATGCTCCTGGTGCTTTGCTCCTCATATGACTGCACTTTAACTTGGACCATCTGTTCGGTTGGCTTCGATTTCTGATCCGGTTGCTACTGATGTGGATTTCACGTATTTGCTACACTTTTACAACACGTTCAAACACTCTCCCGAACACACACAGACACACTTTTACTCACACCGATACATGTAACAGTTTCGCACTTATAATTGCAAATACTTCTCGGATTGCAGAGTTTTTAATTTGGCTAAACTACTCTCGTCCGCAGCTGGGTAAAATTGAAAGAGTTTAGAATTTTATCCACTTGTCCATTAGCATTTTATGGGAGTTTTGTTGTCCAAGTGTCCGAAGTGTTTGTGTGAGTGTATGTGTGTGTGTTTGGCCAGTTGTAATGTTTCTCCATGAACAACAGAATGTTGGATGTTTTGTATTTAAATTCCATGCATTTGGGGCTCTGGTAAAAGTAAATGTTTATTAAATTAAGATAGAGATCTGACGATGCAGTGCGGTGTTTGATGGAAGAGGGTGAGGTGATAAAGAATGATAGAAAATTAAAAAAATGTGGACTTTTATAGAAGACTAAAGGGTCTTCTCATATAGAAGACCAGAATGTCTTCTCATATAGAAGACCAGAAGGTCTCCCCATGTAGAATACCCGAAGGTCTCCTCATATAGAAAATTAGAAGGTCTTCTTATATCGAAGACCAGAAGAGAAGACATTCTGGTCTTCTACATAAGAAGTCCTTCTGCTATTCCATATTAGAAGACCTTCTGGTCTCCTATAAGAAGACCTTAGGTCTTCTATATACGAAGACCTCCAGGTCTTCTATACGAAGACCTCCAGGTCTTATATACGAAAACCTCCAGGTCATCTATACGAAGACCTCCAGGTCTTCTACACGAAGACCTCTAGGTCTTCTATAAGAAGATCTCCAGGTCTTCTATAAGAAGATCTCCAGGTCTTCTATACGAAGATCTCCAGGTCTTCTATAAGAAGACCTCCAGGTCTTCTATACGAAGACCTCCAGGTCTTCTATACGAAGACCTCCAGGTCTTCTATACGAAGACCTCCAGGTCTTCTATACGAAGACCTCCAGGTCTTCTATACGAAGACCTCCAGGTCTTCTATAAGAAGACCTCCAGGTCTTCTATACGAAGACCTCCAGGTCTTCTATACGAAGACCTCCAGGTCTTCTATGAGAAGACCTCCAGGTCTTCTATAAGAAATCTTCCTGGTCTTCTATACGAATACATCCAGGTATTCTAAACGAAGACTTTCAGGTCTTCTATACGAAGACTTTCAGGTCTTCTATACGAAGACTTTCAGGTCTTCTATACAAAGACTTTCAGGTCTTCTATACGAAGACTTTCAGGTCTTCTATACGAAGACTTTCAGGTCTTCTATGCGAAGACCTGCTGGTCTTCTATACGAAGACTTTCAGGTCTTCTATGCGAAGACCTGCTGGTCTTCTATACGAAGACTTTCAAGTCTTCTAAACGAAGACCTCCAGGTCTTCTAAACGAAGACCTCCAGGTCTTCTAAACGAAGATCTCCAGGTCTTCTATACGAAGACCTCCAGGTCTACTGTACGAAGACCTTCAGGTCTTTTGTACGAAAACCTCCAGGTCATCCATACGAAGACCTCCAGATCTTCTATACGAAGACCTCCAGGTCATCTATACGAAGACCTCCAGGTCATCTATACGAAGACCTGCAGGTCTTCTGTACGAAGACCTCCAAGTCTTCCATACGAAGACCTCCAAGTCTTCCATACGAAGACCTCCAGGTCTTCCATACGAAGACCTCCAGGTCTTCCATAAGAAGACCTCCTGGTTTTCCATACGAAGACCTCCAGGTCTTCCATATGAAGGCCTTTTCTATGAGAAGACCTTCTGATCTTCTATGAGAAGACCTTCTTATCTTCTATGAGATGACCACTTGTATAAGATGACCTTCTTCTATAAGAAGACCTTCTGGTTTTCTATAAAAAACCTTTAGAAGACCTTCTGGTCTTCTATAAAAAACCTCCTGGTCTTCTATAAGAAGAAAAATTGAATTCTTGTCTTTCTCTTGACAACCTATACCTTATCTTCCGTTTTCTATATCCTCTTTCCATTCCTCTCAAATATCACGTTTGACCACCTTTCGTGATACATTTTCTGCCTTACATGCACATACACATCTACCGACACCTCCATTCTTGACCAAGCTTGCATGTCATGATTAATGGCATATTCTGGCTACACGCTGTCGTTTTGCTGGCCTGAAGAGATTGTAAACTTTAACTGCCGTCACTGATATGGATCTGGTGTCTAAAACATCAACGCCCACTGTCCACAATTTGTAGTGGGGGAAGGGGGTGTTGTTATCCCTTCGAATTGATTTTCCTTCTAAAGAATTCAATTTGTGTATGCGTTACTGTTTTTCGCTCTGAGGGAGTGTTGAAAAGCGTGTTTTCCTTTTTCGGATATTTTTTTTGAAGAGCTTTTGTTGCAGAAATGTGATTCGTGCTCAGTTGACTATTGGAATTTTCTTCGTCGGCTTTAAAGAGGAATTATGTGAAACAAAGAATGCGGTTTAAAAGGAAGTAAGGAATTTATTTTATTTTTTAAGATATTTTTATTTAAAGGCGGAAATTTGAAATTTAAAGGTCTGTATTTGGAAGGATGGGGGCACACCTTAAATTTGTATTTATTTGAAAAAGAAAATTGTAGGTGTCATTAAAACTCAGTTTGGTTTATTCTTATTATATTTCAGGAAACAAAGGACGAAAAGGATAAGGACAAGAGATTTCAACATGCCATAACTTGGCCTATTACAATATTATCTCCTTGAGTTCTTATTATAGTCTTTAACATATTTTTATTCCCAAAATAATTTTGCAGAGTTTTCAGTATCCCAGAAAAAAAAAATAAATAAAAAAAAATAAAATTATTAAATACAGAAAATATCCTATGGTTGTCAATATGATATCAACTGGACTTCGTGTCTATTATAAGTAGGATAATTATCAGAATAATTTTACATAATTTTGAATTAAATTTAAAATTTGATTAAAATTTTAAATTTCTTTTTTTTTTCAAAAATCTTTTTTTATACCCTCCCCTAGTATGGAGGGTATTTTAAGTTTGTCATTCCGTTTGTAACACCCCGAAATATATATTTTAGATCCCACAAAGTATATATATTCTTGATCAGGATAAAATTCTATGTCGATTTAGCAATGTCTGTCTGTCCGTCTATGAAAATTGGTATTGCCCCCAAATAATGATACCTCCCTATTTCGGTATGTTGATGATTTTAGCGACATTATGTACCGGAATTAATTCAAATTTTGTATTTAAAGTTCGTAATGGGTACTACAGCCTAAAAGAGAAAATTGTATGTGCAGGTTCAAGTCTTCGTGTAGCCCCCATATAACGGTACCTCCCGATATGCGGTATTTTGATGATTTTAGAGACATTATTCACCGAAATTATTTCAAATTTGGTATTTGAAGTTCGTAATGAATACTACAGCATGTGACAGAAAATTGTATGTGCAGGTCCAAGTCTTCGTATAGCCCCCATATAACGGTACCTCCCGATATGCGGTATTTTAATGATTTTAGCGACATTATGTACCGGAATTATTTCATATTTTGTTCGTAATGGATACTACAGCCTATGCCAGAAAATTGTCTGTGCAGGTCCGTGTTTTATAACCCCCATGGTACCTCCCGATATTCGGTATTTTGATGATTTTAGCTACATTATAAACAGATTTTTTTCCAAGTTTCGCATTTGAATATTGTAATAGCTTATGACAAAGTTGCCTATGCAGGTCCACGTCGTCATATAGACCCTAATATACGGCTACATTCGGTATTTATACCTAGACCACAAGGTGGTCAGGGTATTATGTCTTTGTGCATTTGTTTGTAACAGGCAAAAGGAAACGAGATAGACCCATAGCTACTTTTGAGGATCTCCATAGAATCACTTTCTGAGTTGATTTATGCATGTCAGTCCGTCTGACCGTCTGTCCGTCCGTCCGTCCGTCCGTCCGTCTGCCCATGTATTCTTGTGAACAAAATGCAGGTCGCATTTATTATCCGATTGAGATGAAATTTTCCAGACAACATTTGTTTGGCCCAAGGACGAGCCCTATTGAAATTGGAGATAATCGGTAAAAAATTAGATATAGCTCCCATATATATCTTCGTCCGATTTGCCTTTTATTGTGCACCAAACTTGTAATATCAGCCCGAATAGTATGGAATTTTGCACATACAACCAAATTAGGCCTGAATATAAGCATGCCAAATTTTATCGAAATCGGTTCAGATATAGCTATAGCTCCCATATATATTGTTAACCCGATTTGTTATTTTTAGTCCTCCGCAGCCGTAATATGCACTCTGTAACAACAACAAAATTTGGGGGATATATGTCAAATACAGCACTGAAATAATTTTCTAATTTTTTTCGAGATCGGTTCAGATTCGGATATAGCACCCACATATAACTTCGTCCGATTTACCTTTGATTGTGCACCAAACGTCTAATATTTGTCCAAATGGAAGGGAATTTGGCACATACGACCGAATTGAGTCTAGAAGCTAGTATGTCAAATTTTGTGAAGATCGGGGTTCAGATATAGCTATTGCTCCCATATATAATGTTCATCCGATTTGTTGTATTTGTAACCCACAGCCGTAATAAGCACTCCATAACAACGATATTCAGGGAAATATATCAAATGTAGCTCAGAAATACCTTTGATAAATTTTATCGAGATCGGTTCAGATTTGGCGATAGCTTCCATATATAACTTCGTCCGATTTACCTTTTATTGTGCACCAAACGTCTAATATTTGTCCAAATGGAATGGAATTTGGCACTAACGACTGAATTGAGTCCAGAAACTAGTTTGTCAAATTTGGTGAAGATCGGGGTTCAGATATAGCTATAGCTCTCATATATACTGTTCATCCGATTTGTTGTATTTGTTACCCACAGCCGTAATATGCACTCGGTAAAAACGATTTTCAGGTTTTTCTTTGCCAAATTTTATCG